GATAGTCTCTGGGAATGGTCTCCAAGACAAGGCATTGGCATCTGTCAAATAAACTGAACAAATCTGACGTGAATCCGAAAATACCAATGGTTGTAGCATTATATTTGATTGTGGCATTTCATTCTGCTCAAATCTCAAGATAGGGTATCTAACCATTTATTTTGCATTACTCGGGAAATTTTGTCCACTCTCATAACTTGAAAGTTGTTTATTGGTTTATACTACAGCTAGCCGTATAAAGTATTCTTTACAATTATTACTATATGCGCTTTGAAATAATGATTACATTTCTATGGAAGCTTAATAAGTAGATTGGTCACATTTCCTTTGGCACAGATTAAAGGGATAATAACTCTTCGTATGAGACCTATATTTCACAATAAAAACCTTGTGAATAACTCATAGAAATATAATATATTCTGTTTTACCACAAAAACAGCAGTTATAGCTTTTATTCTGATATTTGAACTTGTCTTTAGACCACGTGACCTCCATTGATGTCTATACTCTGTTAAAATCTCTTAAGAGATTTTAACAAAAAAACAAACTTTTTAGAAAAAAACCAGGGACTAACTTTGAATGTAAAAATGGATTCATTAACCATTGGTAAGTATGGGAAAATTGTTGTTTACTCCAGAAAAATTCATTTTTTGGCCGAAACGAAGAGTTATTATTGCTTTAAGGGGTCTTGCCAATCGAATTGGGCTTTTAAATTTACTCTTTACAAGAGGGTGAATGTGTCTTGAAGAGATGAGGGATTTTAGCTACAGTGGTGAGCACCAATTTTGGCCAAAAGCTAAGTTTAGGTTATGCTTTAAACCAATCAACATGCAGGGTAGTGTGTACTTTGATCACGTTCCTATGTAGGAGTTATTATTATTATTTAGCTTTTTGTCTGTTTCTATTTTAAATGTAAGCTGATTTTTGTACAAACTATGGGAAGACGAATATAAACCAAGTAGTATGGGGAAAAAGACTAGAAATTACACACGAATATAAACATGTCATTTTTTTTTTTTTTTTTTTTTTTTTTTTTTGCTATGTTTATTTCAGGATCCACAAAAATTACAAAATGAAGAATATAGTCCAGGATCCCAGAGGGTTGAGCATGCCCGAAAAGATCACCAATTTTCTTGTACCTGGCAATGGCCTACATGGTTACCTATGTATGAAAATGGCAGTCTGCCGTATTTCCAGTAGTGGGTGTGGTCGGGGGGGAGGGGGGGGGCAAAAGGAACCCCTAGAAACCTATTGGGGGTTTTTCAGCACGGTCTCAGGTATATTAAATATATTTTGACAGACAAATTGAGTGGTGGGGTGTGGCCGGTAGACACTGATTTATAGGGGGTGGAAATCCGTCTAGCATGATCTAAAAGTTAAGCCTAAAAAAATAACTGGAAAATGTTCCTTAGAGTCCCAGGAAAGTTGAATGACCATCGACAGACAATTTTAGTGGTGGGTAGTGCCCGGCAGACACACCCAAAGAGCCACACCCTTAATGTACAGCTAGCATGCCTAATATATATCTAGCATGCCCCAAAATTTAACCCGAAAAAAATAGCTGGAAAATGTTTCTTAGAGACCCAGGAAGCTAGAATGACCACTGGCAGACAATTTCAGTGGTAGGTACTGCCTGGCAGACACACCCAGATGCCACACCCAGGTGACTTACCAATGGTTAATTAATCTATTTTTAACATTCAAAGTTAGTGCCTGTTTTTTTTTTTCTAAAAAGTTTTTTGTTAAAATCTCTTAAGAGATTTTAACAGAGTATAGCCATCAATGGAGGTCACGTGGTCTAAAGACAAACTCTGTTAAAAACATTGTGAATAACTCACAGAAATATAATATATTCTGTTTAACCACAAAAAAGGCAGTTATAGCTATTATTCTGATATCTTAGCTTGTCTTTAGACCACGTGGTAAGTATGGGAAAATTGTTGTTTACTCCAGGAAAATTCATTTTTTGGCCGAAACGAAGAGTTATTATCCCTTAAAGGTTGTGTTCCTCTGGGTGTGCCTGCCGGGCACTACCCACCACTTTTATTGGTTGCCAGTAGTCTATACTCTACACAC